TTTCAACATGTGAACGGGGCCAGCCTGTCATCAGAACAAAGCCGTGGGAGCTGGAACAAGCCAGATTTAAATGAGTTAATCTACAGAGAAGTCTTTCCCGGAAAGCTGTTACTTAATACAAAACCAGCTGTCCTCTCCTTCGGGTGGGTGCTAGAGCCACCTCTCAGTTTAATGTGCACTGAGAGAGCATGTCTGGTCCAAGAGAACCAGAGACCCAAGCTACTGCCAGGAGGACCCAGGCCTCCAGGGTGCTGATTCACTCTGTCTCCCTCCAGAGGGCCCAGCCCCACCACACTTCACACCATCCAGCTGGCCTTGGCCCTGGCCGCAGGGAATGTTGGGCTTTGGTGCCTGCTGCCTTCAGCAGCCCTGCCCGCCTTCTGATAGTGGGCTTGGTGCCAAGTCATGCTGATCTGACCAACCTCGACGCCAGCCTCAAAAGCCAGGTTCTTGGTCTTGAACCCAGCCAGTGGCTAGTGCCTGCTCCCCACTGATGGGATGGTGGGTTCAAGTCAGTTCCCCTCTTTGTTAATGAAATTCAGCTTCTCTTAATGGAAAATCTCGCCTAAAGGAAACCTGTCTGGGTGTGTCTGGGTGTGTGTGTGTGTGTGTGTGTGTNTGTGTGTGTGTGTGTGTGTGTATGTGTGTGTGTGTGTGTGTGTGTGTGTGTGTGTGCGTGCGTGTGTACATATTTCCACACTCATAGAGCAGTTCACCTGGGAGGTGAGGCCAGGAGGCACGGGCCCTAGAGCAGCTGTTCTCAGCATGGAGCCGGCTGTGTGTGAGTCACTAGGGGAGGGTGTGCTTTGTAAACCTCCAATTCTACCTCAACTGGTCTAGGATGGAGCCTGGGCATCAGGAGGTTCTGAAAAACATCCCAGGTGATTTTAATGTGCAACCAGGGCTGAGAACCACTGATAGAGAGAAAAAGGCAGTCTCCCAGTGTACCCAGATGGAGGAGAACACACAATTTAAATGCAGCTCCCACTCAGACCCCCTTCTCAGGCAAGATAATTTCTGCAGCCTACCAAGGAACCATTAGAACAGCATGTTGAATTCTGGTGCCATGTTTCATTCAGAGAGTGCCTCTTTAACCAGCCTCACCCTTGGTTTCCCCAGCTATCAGGAAAAGAGCTACTCCAGATTCATTCATTTTGCTTCTCTTGTCTCCCATTTTCCAGCTTTCTGCCTCCCCTTCTCTCCTCATCTCTCATTTAAATGCAGACTGCTTATATATTTGTCTTTCTACTTTTCCAAAAATGTTTTACGTATTGCCTTGAAATTAGATTTGGGTAGTGTCTGCCTTCTAAGTAAGTAATAGCACAGAAACTATAAGCCCTATAATGTAAGTAGGGTATGTAATGATGATGCTGTGATATTCCCTAATGCATAAAATGTTCCATTCATGGGAACCAGAGCTAACCATTCCACAGGGGCACACTCATGCTGAATCTTATAGATCCTGCCTGCCCCCTGAACCTCAAAATCAGCACAACTCTCTGCAGCACCGCACCTGCCACCATGATGCTTGCCACTTTTTATTCCCTCTGAGCTTCGTTTAATGTCTACTTATCAAGTAAAAGGCTCATTTTGGAACTATTTTCAGAGCAAGTATAAAGACATCCTTAAGGATATATTAGCTACATTACTTCAATCCAATGAAATACATAAATCTCTACCCTGCAATAAATTCAGCACATACGAGAGCAAGCAGTCTCTCAGATAGGCCTATTTGGATGAAAAATAGTGTGGACGTAGACAAATGACCAGGGAATATGGCAGAATTTGGAATAAATCAGGTCTCTTTGGAACCGCATCTACAATGATTTAGTTATGGAAAGCACCAAAAGATATTTTTTTTATTTGTCTTTCAGAAAACTTTAACATTCAGCAAGCCTCGATCACAGCTGAGTTCCAGACCTTCACAGTCAAAACTGGTCTTCTCCACTGGTCATCTTGAAGACCCTCAAACTCAGCATGTCTGCATCAGAACTCATCACCGGCCCTCCTGGTCTGTATTTTTTTTTCTCAGTTAATGAGATTATTTTTCACCCAGTTATCCAATCAGAAACCTGGTAGTTATCCTAGAACCCTAATTCTCCTCAACCATCTTCCCACTCCTTCCAAATCCCTAAGCCCCAGAGATGTCATATGCACATGCTCCTATTTGTCTTTCACCCCAACCCACAGCTTCTGTTTTACTGTGTTGCTTCCCAGACTCCTCCGGGGACCTCCCCTTAACTGTTCCCCCTGTACTATCTCGCCCCTCCCATCTATCCTTCTAAGTTGTGCCACAGTGATCTTTATGAAACAATCCTTATCAAGTTGTTCCTATCATTCAAACTCTTCAATGGCTCCCTGCTGTCTACAGGACAAAGCAGGGTATACAAGCCCCCACAATCCAACCTCTCCAACCTCAGGTCTGCTTTATCTCGCCTTGAAGCCTCCACCCCGTCCCATGAGCTACCTGGAGTTCCCAGCACGCCAGCTGGCCTTCCATCTCCTTATCTCTGCTTGTAAACTATTCCTTTTGGTTGAATTTCCCTCTGCCTTTCTGCCCCCAGCAAAACACTCTCATTGTTTGGGTCCACTTGCTCCACAAAACCTTTTCTCACTCCTCACTCCAAAGAAAAATCTGGACAGCCTCGCCCTTGAGCCCCGGGTCAGACTTCTCTCACAAGATCTGCTATCAACCCATTTAGTCAAAAGACTGTGAGCTCCTGGAGGGCAATTGTATCTTCTCTTTGAAATCTAAGTGCCTAGAAGTGCTGCCCGATGCACAGGAATTTAATAGATATCAGTTAAAGGAATGACTGTTTCAATGGTGGCATTCGAACTTTGGTTCCAAAACTATTGTCTTTACAACTCAGATAATTGGCTTTCGGCTACTTATGATGTGGGATTGCCTCTTATTCCAGTTGTAAATCATCTGCAGAAGCCAGAAAAATAAATCAGTACAGGAGGTAGATCGCCTTCTTATCCCCTGAGAAATCATTTCTTTGTTCTTTATTCCTGAACAGAAGGGTCATGCTTCAAGGCATTCCAACAGCCGATAATGTGGATAATGTGAAACTATCAAGACAGTTATTCCCAGGCCCTGGCCCTCCCTGGTTTAAGTGCTCTCTCCTTGGATGTGAGGATTATTTGCTTGAGGCACAGAGAGCAGACACTAATTAAAGCAGAATGACCGTGATATAAACCAAGCTGGCGTACGGAGTCTGCATCCGTGCCCCCTGCCCACGTAGATGGAAAAAAAACACTGAGAATAAAAACTGACTTCCCAGGCTTTGTGGCTTCTAAGCCCATGAGGGAGTCACATAAAAATAAAGGCAGTATTCTCAGTTCAGCAGTGGGCAGCCCCTGTGCTCCAGGCAGAGCCTCTGGAAGGCTCTGGGCCCACCCAGAATTCCATCTAAAATGTCAAGTATCTGCAATGTGGCTAGAACTTAATACCCGGTGCGTATCCTCTTCTCCAAGCGCTGATTTCATATTGGGAAATGAGCAATTTAAATAAATGTTTCATTAACATAGTGTTTTCCTGCTTGATGCTAATCGAGTAATTTGTTTTCCCCAATTCTCTTCTATGGAATCATTTCATGCAATCCTCCACAGGACAATTTGAAACTCTTTGGGTCCCTAACAGACACTCCCGGGAACATAGAAACCATCCAAACAACCAAACAAATAAGCAAAAACCCTTACACTGAAGAGCAATCCAGGCTCATTTGTTCTGGAGCACACATCGCATCTCCTACAGAACAGGACGGACTCTCCCGACCACCTCAGAGGTGCTGCACTTGCGCTGCTGGGACCAAGCATCATTCAACAGGCACTGTGGGTCCCCGAGACAGGAGTGGGAGGGGTGGGACATTCAGGAAGAATGTGGGGGTATAACAGTTTGTTTTGAGGCCCTACAAGGCTTGTTCCCATTCTGTTTTGCTTATCTGGACAGGATTCTTGGTCTGTGCTGGTTCCAAACCCCAAAAATTTCAAGGATATTTCTAACATCTTTTATTAATAGAAACTCTTAAAAATTACATAGCCCAGTGCTCAGATATACTCCAGACTGGCAAAAGCGAGTACCATATAAGGGTTTGTTCCCCCAAACCTTGTGAGACACAGGGGGATGGCTTGATTATGAAGCACATTGCATTAATGAGAGGTCATCTTTTGGGGGGGTGTCTAGCCCCATCACAATGGGTCTGTGTACGCCATTACGCTGCAGGTGAGGTTTTTATGTGGTTCTATCGCACATGGGGAACAAAAACAAAACTCAATGAAGAGGTGAAGCATTTAAACCACAGACTCTATGAAGCCTGCTGGGTGCCAGGTGCTACGTGTGTGGCAGAGAGTGGGAGACCCATCAGAGTGTGAAAATAACCCTGGTGGGGTTGGCATTCCAGGCTCTGCGACATACAAGCTGCAATGCATTGGACAAGTGGCTTTATTCTCTGAGTTTCATCTCCTTATTATAAAATAAAGCAACAACAACAATGACAATAATAATACTAGTAGGAGTGGCGGTGGCAGCTACCCTTTATTGAGCACTTACTAGGTAGCAGGTGCAGCTGAAAGTGCTTTACAGACACTTGTTAAGCACCACCTCACTTAATCCTCAGACCACATGCAGGGAGATGTTATTAAATGCAGTTTTCGGAGGAGGCTCAGAGCTCAGTAAACGGGCCCAAGGTCACCCAGGTAGAGTGAATGTCAGGGTCTCGGTTCAAAACCACGTCTGCTTGCCTGCTGTGATCTCTGGAAAGAATAACTACTACAGAGACTGCTGCGAATGTTGATAGACATGATACCCATAGATGAAACTCGGAACGTGAGTGTCAGTCCCCGTGAACAGGGCCTCGAGCTCCCTGCTTGCCAGCCATCCCCCACCCTCTCTGACCTCTGGGAGGCCAGTGCTGGCAGCCTCGTCCCTTCCTGGGACTGGGGGGACCCAGTAGTCCCGCGGCAGTTGGGGGAAGGAGGCCGTGCCTCCTGGCACTTACTTTCTCAGAACGGCTATCTCGTTCTCGATGCTGCTCTCCTTGCCTTTCAGCGCCTTCTTAGGGATGCACTTCACCGCAAACAGCTTTCCAGTTGCCTTCTCTTCGGCTAAGACCACTTCAGAAAACGCCCCGCTGTGAAGGAGGAGGGAGACAGAGAAGAGGGTTAGTTTCAGGAGTCTGGGGTTCCCCATGGCTCCTCCAAACCCTCCCCCGAAGTCTGAGCAATAATGACGATGCATTAATGTTACTTTTTTCATCCAACACCACTCCGGACAAACGTTTTTATATGCAAAGAAGTAGACACACACAAATGTGCCCTCAGGCAAAGGGGCACGTGGATGTCCACATGAGGTTGGCCGCATCCCAGGGCCACCTGCCACCCGGTGCACCAACACTGTAGCAGTCACTTGGTAGCAAACAAGGAGGCTCCCAGAAAAGTTCCTACAGAGAAAGATCAGGTCCGTCTGAAGCTGTCAGCATCCCCACCCCAAGCAGACGAGAAAGTCACACCAAAATTTCTAGACTCCTCACAGGCCCGTTCATCCCAAGAAAATTTCAGAGCAAACATTTAATTAATTCTCGCAAATAGGTGAGGATGTAATTAAAGTGTGAGTTGGTGCAACATGTGGTATTGACATGGGGTTAATTAATTGGTAGGGACACAGAAGCCTTCAATAAGCAGTTTGTTTCTTTTTTAAACTAAACAAACAAAAACACACATGAGGTGCTATGTGGGGGAGACTTTACTGCCTGGAAATATAAATTTAACTCTGTGAGGGCAGAGCAACAAGCTCAGACTGTAACTAGGATATTTGGAACCAGAAAGTCCATTTCTCCAAAGAGGCACCCTGGGTCAAGGAGCCCCCAAGCCAGCGCCTCAATGGTAACCTTGTCCCCTCCCTGCGACCTCCTATGCTTGCCAGCAGGCAGGGCCTGGGTGCCACACGTGGGCAAGGGGGAAGGACAGCTCCTGGGTGGGGGGACTTCCTGAAGTGTCACTGGGAAGGTCTGATTCCATACATCAATCTGTCATAAATCTGTTGTAGGTTTTCATGTATTTTTGTTACCAAACTCAGGTTCGGTGTCGCTTGCCACCCGAAGAGTCCAAAAAACTAGAGTGACAAGGGTTGGTGAGAAGAAAAGCATCCTTTATTCTAGATGTCGGCAGCTACGGAAGACAGCAGACTCCTGTCGAAAAAACCACCTTCCCGGAGCCAAAATGATCAAGAGGTTTTACTGTCGGGTAGATGGAAAAGAACAAAGGAAAGCAGGCCTCAGGACTAATAATTGAGAAGTCGTCTCCTGGGGTCTTCTGACTCCTCAGGTCTGCTCAATGTTATCTTAAAACTTATTGTCCGCAGCCATCTGCGGAAAAACTGCTAGGGAGTTGTGAAAAACTGCTAGGGTGTTGTGATCTTGGGTCCCTGATGTCCAGGTGCCTGAGGATTATAGAAGCTGCTCTTTTCAGGTTATGATGTTCGTGATTAACAAGATATGCGTAGCCTTGAAAAAGGGAACAACGTTCTTCAGTTAATCAGTGGGAGGAGAAACAAAGAGGAAACAGCTGAATATCAGAATGGATCCCACTGCAAACTAGCTAAGTTTAATGACATTATTGATGTATCAAATTTCCCCCTTACATTTATATTTCACAATTATTCTTCTGGCTGGTTCTATGCGAGGCATGTGGTACTGTGCGGGGTGCATCCTCCTTGGCCAGCAATTTGTGGATTTAGGCAGAAGACCTTTGTTCTGACATTTTCCATGTTGTTCTCTTGTGGAATGCCTATGTTCTGCCCCTCAGGTTTACATAATCACATACAGACCTTGAAGATAGAGACTTCTCTCAAGGAAGTTAATGTTCCAATAGGAACGCAGTCCTAAGCATTCTGTTCATTGTATTAAGTGGAGTGAATTCCTCTCTCCCTGGAAAGGATTTTAAAAATATCTATTTGTCTCCCTTTGGTCCGTGACCGATGTGTATCTTCTTCAGACGGGGGAGTAGAGGGAGAGTGAAGTTCCTTCTTAGGCAAACTCTGATGTTGACTGAAAAACAAGGGCCCTGAGGTAGCAAACTGGGATGACACTGATCCTCCAAGTGGTTTCTTTTGATGCAAGAGGGGCTGTCTCTCACTACAAGCCTGTAGAAGCCACGTTTAGTGTCTCTCTGAAGAAATAAGAGTTGCTCCTGAAAGTCTAGGGAAAGACAATGGCTTGGTGGATTGTGCTTTTCTTTGGCCCACGTGCACAGATCCACGTTACTGGGATCTGGAGTGGGCAGTGGAGGAGTGTGTTTTTGTTTTAGAGCCTTGAGGATGTTCGGCCCCCAGCCCAAATGTGGCACCCTCTGAGGTCCTTTTATTATTATTATTTTTTTAAGATTTTATTGGGGAATTGGGGGAGAGGAGCAGCATTGGGGAATTGGGGAGGGGACCAGCCAAGTTGTTGTTCTTCAATCTTAGATGTGGAGGGCGCCAGTCGCCATCTGGCTGCCCGTCGGCAGCTCATGTCCTCTAAGCTCAAGGTGCTGCGATACAATCTTAGCTGCGGGGAGGCATAGCCACCGTCCCATGTGAGAATCGAACTGGAAATCTTGTTGTTAAGAGCGCACACACTATCCACTAAGCCATCCGGGCAGCAGCTCAGCTCAAGGTGCCAAGTTCAGTCTTAGTTGCGGATGGGCGTAGCCCACCATCGAACAGGCAATCTTGTTGTTACAGCAGCTGAGCCATCCTACCACCTGTTAGCAGCTGAGTGACAGCTCAGCTCGGGCACAACGTCACTGGCCCATGTGGGAATCAAACCGGCGGCCCTGCTGCTCAGAGCTCATGCTCTTAAGCTCTTAAACAACTGAGCTACTCGGCCGGCCCTCCGAGATCCTTTTAAATGCACTATGCTGGACAGATGCTGGCTGCTGGCTGGAAGCCTGCCTTGCAGTCATAGAAGGTGACAGCGATGGAGGATGGGACCCTGCCTGTGGAGCACCACCACCCCCACAGCGAGTACAAGTCCACCTGTTTCCTCACTGAGCCAAATACTGTTCACTGCTTCAAGCTCTCCAACTGCAAAGCTTTGGTCTTGTCATGGGATATGACATTAGCATACATTATTACTGTTCTTGAAATAAGTAGAAATCACTTCAAGACACCTCCCTGTTCCAGGAAAGCCAATGAAAAACATCAGAAGTAGAAACTCATGAATGAAGAGTTTGGGCACTTTCAATGTAATTACACAACAAAGTGACCTGTGTGTCTGTGTGTCTGTGAGTGGGGGTAAGGAGAGAGAAGGGGAGAAAGAGAGGGAGACGGATGCAGGCTGGGAGGAGGCTGGGGACAGGAAAAAAGACAGAAAGGCAAATGATCCGAGAGTCCACGAAACCTTCGGACAACTCAAGGAAGTAAATTCCTAGGAACGCAAGCAGAGACAGAGAGTTACAAAGTTTTAAAAATACAAAGAGGTCAGGGCAGGTTGCACTGTGTCATCTATGAGATACAGGCACCACGCATTTAAAACTCAATGCTAGACGGAATTGCACTTACATCCTGAAACGGCAGTCTGTAGGTGGCTGCTCTGGCCTGGCACCCCAGCCCCCTGTTCTCACGTATCTGGCTTCTCCTCCACCACCACCTGACTGGAATCAGGAGGACACCCAGGGGGGCGTCTGCCAACTGCTCCATCCAATGGCTTCTTCCCGCTGCCCACCCTATTATTGGTCTTCCCTGTGGCATCTGAGGGTCTTTGCCTCCTTCCTAAAACTCTCCTCTTCTTGGCTCTACGACATAATGTTTTCCTTCCTCTTTTATGTCCATTATCTCTCCGTCTCCACCAGCTCCTCTTCCTCCCGTCTAATGGCAGGGTTTGCCCGTGCCCTCCTCAGCCCTCCCCGCGTCCTATTCTCCACCCTCCTGGGAAAATCTGTCGTTCCCGGTTTCCACCACCTGTCTCCTCATGGCTCCCTAACCTTTATCAGAATTTGAGTCTCTCTCATGGGCGAATCTCATCTTTCCCGCTGCCTATGAGGGTTTTCTAGCTGAATTTCCTGCCCAGCCTCTCCAGAGCACCATAACCAAAGTAAAAAAACAGTATCTTCATCCAAAAACTTCTGTCTCCTCTATTCTCTGATCCAGTAACAGAGCCTAGAACCCTACTGCCCTCCCCTCTCTCTCTCTCTCATTTCCGTCATCAAGTATATTCAGGTCTTCTGCTAAAAAGACTCTCAAATGCCCATCTATTCCATCCCTATACCACTGTTCTGGTTCCAGCTCCAGTTACTTCACTCTGGTCTGTTCCAGGCTCTCTCCAGGCCCCTCTGCCCCCAGCAAGCCCACCTCCCACCTGCTATCTCCTATCTGCTACTGGAATTCCTTCTGTCAAGCAAAGATCTTATTATGTCACTACCCTACTTAAAAATTTGACATTTCCCATCTATACAGAATAAAGTTTGAACTCCTTTGCAAGTTATCCATGGCATTCAAAACTCTTCCCAACCTGACCCCAATTCTGCAGGCTCATCTCATCTACCTCTAGAGCCATCCTCCCCACCACAAACATGTGCCACCGTACACTTATCTCCACCCAACCACAGCAGTCAGCTGACAGTTTCCCAAACTTGCCTGTGCCCTTTCACACCACTGGCTTTGGTTCAAATCCTGCCCACGCCCCCATCCTTGAACGCCATTCCTTTTTCTTTCTGTTTGGCACAATTCCATTTATATTTTAAAGAGCCCACCTGGTATATTTCCTACTCTTTGAAGGCTATCTCAACTGCCTCCCAGTCAGAAAAAATGAGGCCCTTATTCTGAGGCCCACACGCTTGGCTTATATCTATGTGACCCCACTTACACATTCCACTGTGGAGTCCTAAATCGTTCTTTTCTGTATCTCCATACAGAAATACAGGACTGGTACCCGAGGCAGTCCTAATGATCACCATTATTTGGCGCTCGCCTCTGATTCTCCATCTAGCTTTCTACATTTCCCCTGGACTATAGATCCGTAAAATAGAAAACACTGGCCCTCCCTTATCCGTGATTTCGCTTTCTGCAGTTCCAGTTACCCACAGTCATCCTGCTGGATGCTCACCCTATTGGATACCAGTTTTGACTGGTAAAAATATTAAACTTGTGAATTTA